TTATGATTTTCCTCCCAAATTGTATTTGTTTGAAAGCTAAATGATTTTTAGATAAAATTTTGTAGAAAAGCTACTCTCTTAGGTCAATCAGAACCATATTTTAATTTTGAAAAACTTTAGAACCGGTATCCTTTTTTATATAGCTTTTCATAGGTCAATCAGAACCATATTTTAATTTTGAAAAACTTTAGAACCGGTATCCCTTTTTATATAGCTTTTCTTACCTAAACTATCACACAGTATATCGTTTTTTATTAAACTGGGATAAGTGTGCTCTAGTTTCAGTAAAACTATGTTCGTTTAAATTTGGGATACCCTGTATACAACAAATTCTATGTTTCAAATCAGATAAATTTTCAATTTTTAATTAATTGCAAATGTACCTACCTACAAATCTTTTAAGTAATCAAAAATATCATCAAATTCATGAGATTTGAATTTATCTAATAGATCTAATACTTTTAATAGAATCGTTTTTTTTTTTAGATTTTGTGCTTTCTAGATAAAAGAGCAAAATTGGTAGTGTTTGACTGTGAGAAAAACTTATCACCAGTAACTAGTAAATCAAAATGTCTAATAAATTAGATAAAATCTGAAACACGTTGATTTCTTAAATTACTTTTCTGCATTGTACAAAAAAAATATTATACAGGGTGATACGCATATTCGGATTTTTTTTAATACAATACCGCTTATTTTTAGAAATAGGCGCTCAGAAAATAAATTGTAATAATTAAAACTAAACCAGTAATAATTGATTTTATATAAAATGTTCGAAAATAAAGTAAATAACAAATAAACATATATTCAGTGGAATTCTAGGACTTCTAAACCAACAAGACTATAAGATCCATTTATTAAGGTAAATAATAGGATAGAACTTTAAATATACCCAATGTTTAATATTAAGTTTGAATTTTTGTAATTTGGTATTATTTCAGAAAGAATTGCAATCTATAATTACGATACCTACTAAACATAATCTACTCTTAAAACAGCTGAGACACTTTAATTTCTTCAAGCCAAGCCATATGTAAATGATTTGTTTTTCGAATATTTCAATGATAGTATGGGTATCAAGAAAATTCCCCGACAATTCCCCGACTGCAAAATTCCCCGACGGGAAAATTCCCCGACAAAAAAACATTCCCTTTGAAAATGCTAAAATCTATCATATCAAATGTCATCAAATTTTAAGATTTTAGATCGTCAAATATTGAAGAATTGAATATATAGAAATAGTACCACAAATTAGATTTTTAGAAACTACTACTATTTTTTACTAAATAAAGTCGAGGGACTTTACACATTAATGTCTTTTATAAATACTTAAACAAAATTATATAAAATTATTCAAATATAACATTAATGGTCAATTGTTAAAAGGATATTAATATAGCAAAATTGTTGACTGTACCTTACAAATTCTTCGAATGAGACATTAATGGTCATTGCTAAAAGCAGCCATACTCAACCTTTTTTTTTTCCTTCAGGCCACATGCGTATGTTCGCTATGTTACACAGGTCGCAATATATGGAATGATGACCCTTTATTTAGGTTATCCATTTAAAATTTGTTAGTGGGAATCTCTAATAAATAAAATAAAATAAAAATACAAAAATATCCCGTCGGGTTAGGAGCAAGATAACTCACATTTTTCTAGTTTCGAGAACACTGTTCAAATGTTTAAAATTGAAAAAAACTAATAAAAGCTTCAAACTGTTAAATAAGCAATAACTCCAATGAAAAAAAGGTATTCTAAAACATAATTACTCTTCACAAAGTATAAACGATTTATAACAAAAAAAAAAAGAAAAAAAACGTCTTTGCTTATTTCAGCTGTCTTCATGCAGGTCATAATATTTAATGTCTGTGTCACTATCTGCAGTGGAAGGTTCAGGTACCGTATGTTTAGCATTATTGGATACAGGTAGATTGTGTGTAGTAGTCTAGTACCTGATTTGCAAAATTTTAGTAAATCTTTCTTTTTGGCATGTATTGCACTTCTTTGTAAGTATTTTTAGAGCTTTTTTTACCCTTTCAGGCCTCCTTCTACCGGTATGGCTTGGGTTTTTCAAGCAATGTGAAAAGATGGTGTTTCGGTGATTTAATAAGTGCTTCTAGTCGTTTTAACGCGAAAATAATATTTATTTATTTTATATCCATGAGATGTAATTTATAGACATGCAAATGTCCATAAATAATAGTAATTATATAGCAAATTATTAAAAAATTACGCCATTGTGCTCGCAACTTTGCAGATCTGCAAATATGGCGGACTTAAAAATGCAAGTATTCCAATCTGCAAATTCACAATATTTATTGTGGTTTATTACCCCCAACAACACTAAACCCAAATTTGGAATACGAAAACTTGATACTTGCATGTGTAAGTCAGTCATATTTGCAGATTTTCAAAGTTGCCGCCATATTTGCAGATCTGCAAAGTTGCAGACGTTCTGTAATCTCACCCCAAATCGATTACAAATTTGAAAGTTATTTACCGAATCATTAAATGAATTCAAACTCAAATTCCTATAAATTCTGAACCTAGTAATTTCGTATAGTTATACAAAATCCACCTTTAAAACTTCTTATAGATACCGGTAGTATGTCTAGTATTCTAAGTCCAAATATCGTTGAGAAATATTTCCCAGAAAATATTTACAACGACCCAACCTTAATAATTACGGCTATAGGTAAAAAGCAAACCGAATATAAAGCTAAAATTATTATTATTGCCTTTAAAGAATTTAATTTTAATATTAACTTAAACTTTATAGTATTTAAATTCCATAATAATTTTGATGGGCAACTAGGATTAAACGAATTACGTAACCTAAAGTGTACAGTAGATTTAGTAAAAAATGAATTAAAAAATGAAAATACAAAAATACCAATTTTATATAAAATAAATAGGGAACATTATACAATTTTTGTGGATGCATACGAAATCGTTGCTATGCAGGTGCCAGTAGATTATTATAATGGCGAGGTAATTGTACCCGAAATGAAATACGGAGATCTTGATTTCAAAAAAACATTGACTTTATCTTGTAACGACTTTGCGAAAACAGAAATAGTGAACAATATAGATAAAAGAATTACTATTACGCTAACAGAACCTATTAAAGTGTTTCCACTTACAGAGGGACACAAAAATAATTTAGAATTTTTTCATATAAAAAATATTTTACAAAATTTTAATAATGAACAATTAGATGAGGACATAGAAAACTTAATACGCACAAGTCATTTAAATTCTGAAGAAAAAACCATTTTAATTAATCTATGTAACGAATTTAACGAATTATTCTACAGGGAGAACCAAAAATTGAGTTTTACAAATCAAGTAAAACACGAAATAAAGACCACAGACTAAAGTCCGGTCTATGTCAAGTCATATCGTTATCCATTAGTATACAAGAACGAGATACAAAGACAAATTTCAAAGATGCTTGAAGAAGGGATTACAAGACCCAGTCAAAGTCCATGGAGTAGTCCAATATGAGTCTGAAAAGTCAGAATAGTGGTAGACTACAGAAAAGTGAACGAAAAGGCTATAGAGGATAGATATCCTATTCAAAATATAACCGACATCCTAGATAAACTAGGACGATGCCAATATTTTACTACTCTGGATTTGGCATCCGGATTTCATCAGATCGAGATGGATCCCAAGTCGGTACAAAAAACTGCTTTCAACGTAGAAAGTGGCCACTATGAATACACCCGCATGCCCTTCGGCCTTAGGAATGCTCCAGCAACCTTTCAAAGGGTAATGGACAACAATCTTAGGAATCTTCAAGGCAAAATTTGTCTTGTATACATGGACGATATCATTGTATTCAGTTCGTCCTTAGAACAACACATTCAAAATTTAAGATTAGTCTTTAATCGTTTACGGGAAACTAAACTAAAAGTTTAACTCGATAAATGTGAATTTTTAAGAAAAGAAGTAGAATTTCTCGGTCATGTAGTATTAAAATAGAAAATTCCCTATATGAAAACACAGAAGAAAATGCAATTAGAAACCCTCTAATATTGCCAAAAATGGAATGGAGTCCATCAAAATCAAATCCAATTTACCAAAACCCTCTCTCTCAAATTACATTCAATAAACTTCAAGCCATCCAAGAATTACAGAAGATAGCAAAATCCACCCAAATTCCACAAGAAATCCACCCCATAATTTGGAATATGCCCAGCCTAACTATAGTAATAGCTTTGGTATCTACTATTATCTATGTATGGTACCGAAAGAAGAAATCCAAAAATCACCAAAATTTCTCGGAAGAAAACCACCATCCCGAAAACAACCCCATATCAGTATTGTTTTCGCCTAAGGAGGGAGGAGTTATATAAGAAGAAGCGTTGATTCTATTAAAATATAAAACCTAAAATGTTAACTTTGCATTTATCATTATCATGTAAAATGCATTATTAAAATTCATTCCAGTTTAGATTGTTGTAGAGTAAACGTCAAATAAATAAAGTAAATTTTTGTTTTTTAAAAAAATATTTTCGAGTTAAATTCACTCTTAAATGAACTTGTACGATCAGAGCCATTTTTTGATGATATAATAGATAATTTTGCAAGTCTATCTTAAAATACCAGTGTCTATTACAGTTGGCAACCCTGTCTGAATTAGTTACTTTTGTTTTATAAAGATGACTACCTGTATTGTCGTCTATCAATGACAATGTCAATGTAGGTACTTCTTCCGGTAAATTAACCAACGAATGTGCGCACCTAACCTGAGTTGCTATTTTAATTTTAGTATTGTTTGTTCAAATAAAAACCTTTCACCAAACTATACCACATTATTTTCTCTAACAGTTTAAAGGATACGAAAATCGACCTTGTGTACAAAAAATAAAAAAAGTTGATTTTTTGTGTTTTATTTTCAACACGTCACCTACATTCAAACCCACGAGCCGCCACTGCCACTACTATGGTCAAGTTTTTTTTCATTTGATTCTATTCTTTTTCTTTTACTTAGGTTTGAGTTGAATTATTTTCCTCAGGATTACTATAAGCAACAAAGTCCACGCGTTGATCCATTTCAGGTTGGTAACACGCGATATTAAATTCCTCATTAAATATTCTATTAAACATCATATAATTAACACTTGTTTCTCCATTTTCCTCGCATTTCTTTACGTAATCTCTATGGATTTCCGCAATAGTTTTACTACCATCTACATAATCTTTCATCGGTATTGACTTAACGAAATTTTTAACACCTTCTTTCAAATTGTTATCTACACGCCTTTGTTTACCGTGTTTGCCACGCAAGTCTTCTGTAACAATGCCTTCGGTGTTACTTATTGTTTTTTCAGTAACTGTTCTAGTAAATCTGTCGGATAAATCTAATGTAGATAAGAAAAAACTCTTACAAACGCGAATTCTAGCTCCTTCTTTGTTCGTGAAATAGAATGCGTTATTGTTTCGTCTTTTACCTCTTTTGTATTGATAAGCTGGAATAATGGCGGACATATGAAATGCTACGAACTTTCGTTTGCTCTGCAAATCGGGTAAGTTATAGTACTCGTTGAAAATATCCTGTCGTTCTTCATTGGTTAGTTTTGTTTTGCATTTTAATTTGCACTTTTCCGTACACGGTGGACCTAGTCGTCTTTCGCGTACAAGTTTATTATTTTTATTTATATATTGTTTTCCTTCATTTCTTAGACGTTTCGTTAGATTCTTTTTCCAGGATTCTGGTTTAGCTTTTCTTTTTCTTTTTAATTTTTGTTTTTCTTCGTTTTGTTCGTCTGAATCTGATGTATCATTGCCTTCGAGTGGGTAACTAGGATATTCGGTACTGTCGCCTGATGAGAAACCTTTTTCTTCTTCATCTAGAAGATCCATTTCTATTTTAACATGAGTGTCTAATTCAGCTGCCAGTAAGGCTTCTAGATTGTTCCCTAAAAATATTTATGTATTAACAACATAGTAATAATAGTCAAATAACAATAATTGTGTTGAAGTGAATTTTATGTTAAAAATAAATACCTGAAAAATATTTTTTTTATTCAAGATTAGCAGTTGGAAGTGTTTTTATAATTTATATCATTTTCTATATTTTCTTGGTTGCTTCTAGACGGTGAAAAAAATGCTAAATAAATTATTTACTTGAAAAAAGTACAATTGTCACTTATTTTAACTATTTTATAAAACAAAATCAATGGCCAAAAGTAAAAGTTTATTTCTAAAAAAAAAAAGTTTTCTAAAAGGACGTATTTTTAATAGTCATTGCTAGACAGTTAACTTAGGCAACTGTATGCCTACAACAAATGAAAATTGTTATTAAATCTACTTTAATTTCTACCAAAACACGAATATTCACCACTAGTTTACTTTTACTAATATTTAAAAAACGTACACTAACTGTAAGTAAATAGTTTGGTAAAGAAAGTCCCGATCTACATCGATTATTCCTATTCCCATGGCTAATCTGGTAATTGGTTTTATTTTTTAATTGTCTTTCTCAACGAAAGGTAACTTGCAACACAAAAGAGTGGCTACGGCAACATTATACGCCGCCTTGATAAGCTGCATGATACCTTAGGAACCTTGGATAATAAAAACCAAAATTGTAGGTCTCAAAAATCTAAATGGTTCGACCAGCAACCTAGGGGACAGTCATTTACATTCCTAGGAAATACAAAGCACTTTTCCACCTCCAATTTAACTGCGGTTAGGATGGAATAGCAAAAGGGAGTAGAAAACGTTGATCCTAGCATCTGCATACTTCTCTTCCGACGCAACCACGCCACCACCCAGCAAAGAGATGGAGGATATGATTGAATACTGCCCGAGCTGGAAGTTTAAGCTGATAATAGATTGTGCCTCAAATGCTCATCACTTCAATTGGGACAGTAAGGATAACAACGCTAGAATTAAGTCACTTTATTACTAAATTACCAAAAAATCTTTATATTTTATATAAAGGTACTACTCTCGCAGTAAAACACTAATAGATATTACTTTATCCATAACGGGTATCTATAAAACAATTCTAAACTGGCAAGGGTCTGATAACATTTCGATGTACGACCACCGCTTGTTAATATTCAAAATAAACTTGACGTTGCCGATCTCTACGTTATCTCGGAACGGTGGGAAGACGAACAGAGCAATCTATGTTCAGCCTCTACAAGAGGATCTGGGAGAAGTGAAGGCCAAAACACCAAATAATAACAATGGTTTGGAAAAGTACTCAAACACTATCCAAATCACAATAGACAATGCCTATAAGAAATCCTGTCTCCTGAGGCTGGTCCTACACGATCAGACTACGACCGCATTGTGGTGCACGAGTTATCTATCACCTCACAAAACTCAAAGAGGACTGGGACATTACAAATCTAACTTCCGAGAATCCAAAAAAATCGTTAGACAAAAACAGATAGTGCACGGATATCCTACTGGGAAGAATCTAGATTTCCCTTAGGCAGAGAGGCTTCAAAAAACTCTCTCAAGAGGTCCACACTGCAGCATTGGTGGGCTAATCAAAGAGGATGTCATGAAAACTGCTTCGAAGATAGTATCAAACTTCTGCTGTCAACACACTTTCCTGGCTCGATCATCACATACGTGGCCGACTAGACAGAAGAATTTAACCCATCTGTCTACGATTGGCAAACTGTCAAACACATTGTAGACGATGACAAAATTATATGGGCAATATCTAGCTTCTCTCCATTTAAATATCCAGGACCTGGCGGTATCTATCCAACCCTACTTTAGCGGGGTATAGAAGAACTCACACCGTAACTACATTGTAGACGATGACAAAATTAGATGGGCAATATCTAGCTTCTCTCCATTAAAATCGCCTGGACTTGACGGTATATATCCAGCCCTACTTCAACGGGGTCTGGAAGAATTCACACCGTATCTGGTAGATATATTCAGATCCTAGTTGACTCTAAGGTATATCCCCAAAAAATGAAGAGAATTATAAGTAGTATTTATAACCAAACCTGGAAGGATTGATTACAGTGTCCCAAAAACCATGGACCTGATAGGGCTGATGGGCGAATCTCAGCCAGACTCATCAGTGATGCGGTGTGTACTAATCAACACTTTATAAGCCTAATGGCACGATGACAAGAAATCCTTTCTCAAGAAATAAACAGGGAACAAAATCTCATCAAACAGCCACCAAAGTCTCCAGGTCATAATAATTACTGTGATTAATCTCAAAACGGTTAGTATCAAATTACCAAAAATATCGAAAAATCTATATTTTAGGTCTAATATCTCTCGAAACTGCCTTGAACCTTTTTTTCGCAAATGACCTAAAAAAATTACATGATATCGCCAAACCATCAACATTAATCATCTATGGAATATTCCTGTTGGTTAATGGGTGTTGGGGAAGGTGCTTTTGTCAAAAGCACCTTCTATCTGTATGTTGATTTGGGAGTAGTGATGTTGGATACATTAAAATCTTCCTTTTGGCATTTCAATATTTCCTACAGGTGATTTGGTATGTCTATATTTTTACATTTAATCCTTTTTCTAGTCAAAGGCTGTATATTTACAAAAAAAACTAACTTTTGAGAAACAACCAGTTTTGTAGCATGAAAATGTGGGTATTCAAAAAAAAAAACGAACCATTTTTTAAATATATTTTTAATGATACAATATTAAATGTGTATGGAATAACATTAATAATTCCACATAGTGGATTTTAGAACATTTTTGATAAACAGGTAAAAGTTTTTTTTAACCAACTAATCATTGGTCCTAAAACTTTTAGAAAATTTGAAAGTTTCAGTACTATTACAGTCATCTATAACAAAATGACATTATAAAAAATAATCTGCAAGTTTTAAATAGTACGAAGAAAAAGCAATAAAACAAAAAATAACATTAATCATTTTAAACATTTTTATAACATTAGAACTTTCTAAATTCATTGGTTCAAAATTTAACTATATAGATTATAAGAAATCATTTTCCCTATTGTACTATATAGAACAACGAACAAATAAACGTTTTAATAAATAATTTTAAGTTGGTTTGAATTTTACATCCGAATTAGATTCGGCAGTTTTTCTCCACCGATTCATTTTGTGCCGAATCGTCTCAAAATGGAATTCTCTGGCCGCATTTGGGTACCTGAAATAGAAACGCATGTGCTTAGCATAATCCACCTATATAGTTCAGAAGATTTCTCAAAAAATGTTGCAATAAAAAATTCGATCGAAAAAGTAGAGGATAAATGGCACCTCCAAAGGAATAGGTCAGTAACCTCTAACGCCTATAACTTAATATGAAGATATTTAAACCCTTGATAGATAAAATTTAATATTGAAATATATAGCACAGAGGAATATATTTTTTTTAATAACCCTGAATCATTGGATTCTTCTCTTTTTTGGGTAAATGCACAAAAAAATTATGCCCGTAATCTCTGTCATTGTATAAATAACTAATCATTATAGATTTATCATTCATCTAAAGCTAATAGATGGCGACACCGTATTTGGATACAGATGGAATTCGTTTTTTTTGTTTTGATATATATTTAATGGCATGGACCTTTCTTCTACAGGCTCAGTTGTTGTTTTTCTTGTTGTTTTGGTTCTACGTCTGGCGAAGCAAACTTTTTTGAAGATTTTCTTTGATACATTTCAAATATTTTGTTTCAGATAATACAATTTTTGAAGATTTAAAATCATATATTTGATATTTCGATTTATGACATTACTCCCAAAATTTCTTTATACAATAATTATAAAAACCTGAAACATTGTTGGAAAAGCCAACCAACATCCAAAAAACGCACCTGCCAATCGTACTGGTAAAAAATTTGAACTAACAAATAATAACAACTTCCAGGTTACTTACATTTCTGATAATGTGGCGTAGACAGTACGACTGGGAACACTGGGATTTTTCAAAAGTACTTCCTTCAATTCTCTCAAAAATACGATCTTTTCTTCTGCATCGTGATCGGGGGGATGATTGTGCGGATTATTGATCTTGATGTCGTGAATTGAACCATCGTATGGGATAATAGCTCGTGCGTGGCATCCTAATCGTTTGTATTCCAAGCAACGCAGGTAACTGAAATGTTACATTTTGTGTAAAGCTATTAGTTTTAATAAAAGTGTTAGATAACTCATGTTTAGAATCTGACAGTTGAGAGATAATTTGAAGCGAAAATACATTGCTAAACACTCTTTAACATAAAGGTATTTATGTTAAAGAACGAAGGTATAAAAGTGAAGGTAGTAATATGGTTCCTCCTGGTAAATTATCAATCTAAATCAGTCTGAATCAATCTGATTCAATCCAAGTGAATCTAAGTCAATCTAAATCAATCTAAGACGAATGATAGCGATATCTATCATTTGAAGGTCTTACTACAACTATTTGTAATGATCGATACTTGTCAAGACCCAAAAAGCGCCTCCATGATTGTTTAGACTTCATAAAATATCGCAGATGCCTCGCAAATATGTTCTAATTCTCAGAGCAAAAAGTAAAACTGTGTAATACCGATATGAAAGTCAGTAGAAAAGTACGAAATATACATAATATAATATGGGCTTTCAGAGAGCTGTTAAAACATGATCTATTCCAGAACCACGTTAATAAGAGTTTTACAAAAACTATTTTACCATTTAATCTTGAAAACAAATTAATTAACTACCTGTCATAAATAAACAATTTCTTTCATGGACTAACATATTATGGGCTGTTAGATGAATGGCTTACCAGTTGGCGGTCCAAATAATATCGCGCATCTTTTGAACATGAAGAAACTAACTTGAGTCCACAGAGGAAATAAGTTAAATAAAGTGGTTGACCTAGGAGCCTTAAATTTTGGCCTATAACCCTTCGGTAGTGTT